CTCCGTCGGGGGTAGTTACTGTGATGGGGCAGTGTACCTCTGCGTGCACAACCCGTGATCCGTTGCCGACCCTTGTCATGCACAGAGTGGAGTCGACAACTTCTCCTCAGTGGGCACCAGCTTCGCCTTCTGGGCCCTGTCGGCCAGGTTCATGGCAAGGCGTGGCGGCGTCGCCCCTGCAGGTTCGTCCAGGCGACGGCGTCGACGACGACGCCTAACCAGCGCCCGGGAGGTCGGTGCTCGCCAAGCACGGCGAGTCGTTCGATGAAACGGCACCTGTATCTGACGAGGTATGAGGTAGGCCACAACGGGAACGTAGGTTGGTACGGCGGCATGCACAGCTCCAGGCGGGCGTCGCAAGGCACCGCCACGTCGGCGGCGGACATGAAACTGGACGCGCTGCATGGTGGCCGCACAAGGTGCTGCCGCGGTGTCACGGGGGCTTGTACCGACCGAAGAGACTGCGTGATGTCCTGTTGTGGTGGTGTCTCCTCTGGCACGCGGTCGCCTGGTACCTGGCGGGCCCGCGCCATGGGCACCGGGCCCGTCGGATCAGGGTCTGCCGCGCGGGCCGCCCGCGGAAGTCGGCGATGACGTCGGCTAGGCCTCGGCTAGCCGGGCAGAGGACCGCGCGAACGTCGGCGTTCTGCATCAGCCGCAAGCGGCACGCCGGGTGCAAGATGTTGCGGCGTTGTAGGCGCACGACCCTCCCGCCATGTACGAAGGCCTCGAGACAGATAGGACACCCCCTATCATCGACGGTGCATTCAGCAACGGGGGGAGGTGCAGCAGGCGGCCGGCACGGGAGGAGGATTAGTACGGGTTTCTATCCAACTCTGTTCTGCCTTGCGTCGCTGCTCGTCCTGTGGTCCTCGGAGTTCCATTGATAACTGCATTTTGTGGAGCTCGTCAAGGTGCCGTCGCGGCGCGTGGTCGAGAGCGATGCCCGCGCTGCGTTCGGACCGGCCGCCGCTCGACATCCAGGTCTCGCGGCGGGCGAACCACGTGGCCACTCTCCCAGATGGCTGACTCACGTCGATGGGGACGTCCTGACTGAATAGAGCCAGACCCTGGGAAGCTCCCAGCACTGGCGGCGACTTGGCTACTGGCGCGGACCGTGGCGGCCACGTGGCGTTGGATTCATACGGTGTGCTGATGCCGAGAGCTGCGACTGATGGCGCGTACGCCCAGCTTGGCAACTGCGCGTCGGCAGGTGGGGTCGGAGGCGCGGCGGCTCGTGCTTTGATGTCGCTCGCCCAGCGGGAATCCGCCGCCCACTCCTCTCCACCGCGTGGGCGTCGGCGGCGATGGTGCTTGTGTTGTTGCTGGAGCTTGTGGGGGTGTAGGCGAAGCTGGCGCTGCGTTCCCTGCTCCTGCCGCACGGGCCGGCAACGTAACCGACTACCCCCGAAAAGAAAGCCAACCCTCCTTTCCCCCTCTTTCTGTTTTTATCCCGTGTCAATAAGATTTAAGTGTGGAGAGGGCGCGGAGGCCGAACTTGATAATCCGCGGGGGCAGTTGCGAATCGAAGTTGTTATCACCTCATGTTAATGAGCAACAACACCAAAAACGCTGAGCATGGCAATGGTGGTCTCACCATTTCAGCTTCCGCCATCACGAGCGTGTGGCAGGGCTATGGGATTCTCACCATTTCAGTTTTCCCAAATCCCGCCCAGGCCTGCACCAAGTGCCTCCCGTGCAAGGACGGCTCCACAGGGTGCCGAGCCTGCATGGGCGAGTGGTTTGAGGTCGTGCGCAAGAGATGTTTCTTGGCCAGGAGCGCAAAGGACCTCTCTTGCGCAGGCAAGTTGTAGCCACGACCCTCGAGATCTCTCGAGTCAGTCTTGTGCCAAGATCTACAAGGTCAGTCTACACGAGCGCCCAGGATCATCATCATCATCATCATCATCATCATCATCATCATCATCATCATCATCATCATCATCATGAACATCATCATCATGAACATCATCATCATCATCATCATCATCATCATCATCATCATCATCATCATCGTCATCATCATCGTCATCGTCATTATCATCATCATAACATCACCTTCGCCGGGAAAATCGTTGATCATTCCCGCCAGACCCCCGAATTTTATCATCCCCAGGGGGTTATTATCGGGAGCGGCCGGTTAGTTGCTGGGCCCGCGGGTTGAACAGAGCGTTGCTGCACGCGGCTCATAAGCTCAGCCATTTCTCGACGTAGTCGCCGTAGATCTGCCTCGCGGACGCTGGGAGAGGACGGGGGGGATGGGGTCCCCACCCAGCTCCATCAATGGCTGTGGCCCGACCCACTGCCTGTCACGAGCCGTCGGACGACGCATTTGGCGCTGCTGCTGTGGCTGGCCGCGGCGCTTCCGCCGCTGGAGTCGGCCGACCGCTATTCAGGGGTTGGCGCTCTGCGTTGGATCACCTGCGCTGGGGCACCCAATCATAGACTGGGGAATTCCGGAGTTGCCCCGCGTGATCCAAGCCGTGTCTGCGCCTGGTAC